ACTGTTCAATGTAATTTTAAAATTTTTGATTTGGAGTAAAACAAAATATACATGTAAATGTCCATCAACGATTTGGTCATTCCACAAAACTATGTTCAGACTGGCGATTCCACCTCACTGCCTTTTATCAAGAGTTCGTGACCAGATAATCACAACAAGTGATCTAGGGGTTGGCACCTTTTGTCTGATTAAGCCGGCGCAAATGTTTTTATCATAAAGAAATCAGATGGGCAATGCTCAATGTCCGTATAATTTAGTGGAACGTCGCGGTGCGGATCTTTCGCTCCGTGAGCCGTAGGTTGCCGATCACTGATCTAAGCCTCGGCAGTACATTAAACCAAATTATTGCATTCTTTACTCTGGTTGGATATTTATTCAACAACAGGTGCAGCCACACAATGCACCTTAATGAAATTTAGGAGTGCTTTTTAGTAAGCCGAAGAATTACTCTTCGAACAAATAACGACGGATTAAGAAACCCATTTTACCACCGCTACCAGGTTTTCAATCACTGCCATGGCTTTTTACAGAAACTCCAGACATTTTAACTTTCAAATAATCGATGCGGATACGAAAATCACGCCAATGCGTGCGTGTATATATGCCCTGGTGTTTTCGGTGATGGTGAATTAGAAAAAATCCAAAATTCCAATTAATGGAGCGGATAAAACAAGGACAAAGTTGGAATTGTGCTTACGATGCATTTCCAGTAACTTATCAAAGTTAAATTTATTGCCAAGGGACTTTCCGTGCGCGTTTGTGCGTAGAAATTAATGCAACATTTGAAATAAATCATGTACATGAACTTACAAGTGAACTGATAATAGCATTAGAACTGATAATAGCAATAGCAAATCCCGAACATGTGACCAGAAAATACATACAGAACTTTAGGCCGAAAAAGTAGTTTTACCTTCTGAAACATATTTTGATTGATTATTTCTTGTTATCGGTAATCGCAACCAGTACATTTTTAAATAATATTCCAACTAATGACGTTACGTAATTTAAAGTTTGGTATCTGTTAGTACTTGGATCCTGGTATTTAAGGTAAAATTACTCGACTAAAAGACAAAACTGTCGAGAGTGGAACAGGAGATTTTTACCAAGTCAAAGTATGTTGAGATCTCATCTTTATGTGTCTCAAAATGCGTTCGAAATGGATTTTCTAATAATTTGAGACGATTGTGCTGATGCCCTTGGATCGAGATTATTTTTGAATAAATATATACCAGAATTGTAGATTGGGTATGAGAATCGTTAAATAAAATCTTGATTTCCTCGAAAATACTTTTATGCCAGTATACTCCGAATCAATCAAAAAGAAAATATAGTCGCTAACTGTCGAGTGTGATGTATTAAATTTTTTTGCAATGCTATAGATAAAATTTTAGAAAAAGTATCTCATGCTATTCCGTATCCACGCTACTGATATAGCAAGCAATAAACGATGGTATTTACTCACGTTATAAACCCTTGGGAAATATGTTAAGATATAATCTCATTTCACATAATATTTGTTTTCATGCACCGGGAATAATACATGGAATTGTAGTCAAACACGTAGTTATTAGCAAATTTCTGGAAATAAAGAAAAGGATAATTTGTGCAATCCCGTTGAAATTATTCCTTGTGCGTAATAAGTATGCTTTATGCATGTTAGTCAATTCTGTACAATAAACATTGCACGTCCACGGCTATTTTGTAATTTAGGTTTCTATAAGTTAAGTCAACATCAAATACGTATATATTAGCTAGACTGAGTGAGAAAAATTGTTGCGAATCAACGAGGATTTTCTTTGGTCTTCATTAAACAAGGCGACACGAACACTAATTAGAACTATAACAGTAGCACACAACAGCATCGTTTAGGAATAAATTATGTCGATGCAAAGGTGTTGGTAGTTCTTCTCTGCATCGCATTGCATATAGAAAGGATGGCATGAATAATTAAAGACCGAAAATGTTTAAATTCAGTTTCTGCTCCGTGCATGCGCTAGATGAGAATTTTTAAAGTCCAGACGACAGCAACATTTTAAGCTAGTATTGCCTGATAGTTAGAAGTTTTTCTTACGCAAACACTGGCGCTTAGAGGATGCCGAAAATATGCATTGTTCAGTTTGATAATTATGGTTTCATCTGCACTCCTCGCAGTGGCCAACCGTATGAGGATGAGAAGCAATTATCGGTCGGTAATTTGTAGTTCAATAGTTATTTTCTGCCAATAATATCTATAAAATAAAAATCTATAAAAAATATTTTAATAAAAAATATCATGACTTTCCCGCGATTTCTAATTCATGTTACCATGAAAACAAATTGACAAACACAACTGGGTTTTTATATTTACTGTACGACTCACACCTTGTAGATTCTACTTGGTATGTATTTCAGGCATATTTCCAAGTTTTTAATAAAAATGGTAGAAAATGTATGTTTATTTTTAATCTAAAGATTTATGTTTTTCTTTAAATCTCATTTACGCATATATTGGGTATTTTATATTGGGAGTCTCCAAACTGGACAAGACGATCTGAATGAATATGGGTCTACAAATATGACAAAATTTACGTACGTTCGAATCACATAAGAAAAGATAAATCCAGTGGATTAAATATTTAATATTCATAATAAAAAAAAAATCACTATTTTAAACCATTATAAATTTCAGATGACACAGACTGATGTAGAGTTTATACTTTATTAGTTGTATATACAACTAGTATAAGAATATGCGAATAGCGCACGAAAGTGAAGCAGGATTAGGGCTATGGTCGAGTCGTTTCTACAACTTAATTTTAAATGACTGTCCTTGAGCAATAGTCACAGCAAATACGTAACAAAGCTGATCTTAACATCCTTGTTTCAGTGAAGATTATCATTCAATTCTAATGTGAAGTTACAATACACAATGGGGTGTTTACTGTTTTTTTAATCTCACAAGTTCAGTTAAACTTTTCAGCCATCAAAACACCGTACCTGTGTTGATAAACACTGTATTCTTGCGCAAATGTAAATTCAGTCTTACGATCCGACAATACCACTGTTTGCCATGAATTGATATTTCTGAATTCAATTATGTATAGTAACATTGTGTACCTGTTGTTATTTCCAGATTTGCGAATCAAATAGTTTATTATTACTATATATATGCATTATACACAGTAAATTATTTTCTTCATCTGAAGTGTTTTTAGTTTATTGATTAATGGCCGAAAAATACATGGAAGCCAGATAGAAACGGCATCATGGCGGGCTTGGTCGAAAGTATCGAATATGTCGATTTCGGTCTCATAGTATTTACTTCATGAACTCAAATCCCTAGTCTAACGCATGAGGTTTTGCTATGATGTAGTAACCATTAGTACCTTCAAACTACTTCAGCGAAGTTATACGTTACCGTCAACATATTGGCGTCAGCTAAATTAAATAGCATGCGCATAAGGAAAAATACCTGATGCAAAATTTCACGTTTTTACAGTTGAGATGTGGTATATATTTTTTATGATTTATAAAAACATCCAATTTCGCTTCTGGACGACATGAACGATAACGCTAAATTGCCCTAATTGACGAGGCCGAGTTTAGCGATAAATCTACTCAAGTCGAACAAATTGGCAGTTCGCAATAACCCTTTTCAAATTACTGCGGGACTAATTCGTTTAAAATGGATTGAGTTGAAGAAAACGTTCAATATTAGATTCCGAGTTGCGTTCTAATAAAACCAAGCTCTATTCACTGGTTAAATTTGCTTCGTTTATTTGAACGAAAAATTTTCAATTACTTGAAGTGCAAATTTGCATGCTTATTGTAGCCCTAGCTAAGTTCCTTCGGGGCATTTTTTTTGTTTAATTATCGAACAATTTTAGTCTGTTTGCCTTAATTCCGTAAAATGACGCGAAACTGCCTTGGGACCATATCGATTAGGAGTATGGATAATTAAGACACTAATGCGTCGTCTGAGCCCAGCTTGTTTGTGCATTGCGGCAGGTAACGAGCAGGATAGAGGATTCGGGTAACTGTGTCTGTTTTTTCGTTCTCATTATTTGTCCCGAAACGGATTTTGACGGTGGGATAAGAGAATATAACATTGGCTGTTTATGCTTCACTATTTAAAAATTTTAAATATTCATAACAGTTCAAAGTTTATGATGACTGGTAACCATGCAGGGTTGATATTTGCATGGGGACTTACATCAATTTTGCTTTCAAGTATTTTCTATACATAGTTTAGAATTAAAGAAAAGTGTTAGCTTCCATAGACATACCATATATTTTTTTGTGAACAGTTTACATTTAGCAGAATAGGAGGAAAAATATTAAATAGAGTTTACCGCATTAGCTATTGCTTGTAAATAACTTGAGATGTTTACTTTCATTAGCTTGGTTCGGAACAGCATACTATGTTCTATTAAATTTTTCAACAAGAATATTTTGTGATTCAATAGTCTTGCTGCGCACTAACACAAATATATATATTTCTGCAACCTTTCGTCTGACCAAGGTCAGACTTCCTCAGACACACACAGTTCAACTAAAACAAGAATAGATATTTCATGCACATTTATAAATTTGCTGCACACAGATATAATTAGATATCTGTAGCGTTTCTTCTGACCAAGGTCAGGCTTCCTCAGACATACATAGTTCAACTAAAACAAGAATAGAAATTGCATCCACATTATGTTGAACTATGTACGTCTGAGGAAGTCTGACCTTGGTCAAAGGTTGCAGAAATATATTTGTGTTAATGTGCAGGAAGACTATTGAATCACTTAGGATAGTTATATTCACTCTTGCTACAGCATTCTTGCATTATATGAATGGATCCACCGGCACAAAAGCATAGAAGACGGAGAAGTAGTTGTCTCGTAAAAACCCAAGCGATAGCACAAGGAATATTTTGTAATAATAATTTTATTAGTTTGCCCTCTTGGCAATAGGCATTCTGGCTCAACTTATTGAACTAGTGTATCTAATTATTGCATTGATTTATAATCTAAGTGTATGCCCGGGGAAATTTCCGAAAGACAAGACTTTACCATCGAAAATGAGATGGAATCGGAACATTGCGCTAGCAATTTACCGCTTATTTATTTATTTATGGAAGCAATATCCCGGAAGATCAATTTGTAGGAGTATTTTATAAATATTTAATTTCAATCTGAAAGTCGCGTCAAAAAAGCAGCAACGGTTGTTTCCTCAAGATTGTTGATTGTTCCCTCAAGTTTATTTCAAGTGTACGTATTTGGTAATTTGTTTTCGTACATTTGCATAATTTGTCTAAAGCAATTGCTTGATTAATATTTCACGGCCTGGTTCACCCTTCCATGCCTTATAACGAAGTAAATTTGTTTCTATTTTTACGCTAAGTACTACCGTAACTCATTAATGATACCAATGAACGATTGTGAAAAATTGAAGTAGGATTTTATATGACCTGTAAGATTTTGAACTTCTGAGGAAATATCACCTTAAATTAGTTGTATCGAATATTAATCAAATACATGCTAAAATCGATTTTATTAGGATACGCCGAGTAAATATTGATTTCTTAGCCGTTTTTGTTCGCAGACAGCTGTAGAAAAATGTTTTTATATAATGTATGTCATTACTTGTGCATCATGCTGGGATTCTGGACTGTTTTAGCTGGTGGATTCGGAAGAATTCGGACAATAGAACCCCAAAACAGTTTATCTTCCGGTTCAGATGTCAATTATTTTACGTATACTGCAAAGAATGGAAGAGCGCGCAAAATTTCTTTTGGTAGGTCAGAAATACTAAGGAAAAACAAGAGATCAGTCTCACCAAAATCTACATTCGATGTAGAAATGTGGCAAAAAGGCTACAACAAATTTGACAACGTTAGAAACACTGCACCTAATGGCAGAACATCTTTGAAAAAAATGATTGAAGAATTCCCATGCCCAGAAAGACTATGTGAAGACGACAACAGGGAAAATGAAGTTGTGACTTTTTCTACAGTAAATGAAAACATATCCACAAGCAGTGATAATTCTTCGACTGCAACAACATATGGATTGTTGTTCTCTGCGAGTCTTCCTGAGGTAAACTTCTTTCTTTGGCCAAACAGAAATAACCAAGATTAATTTGAGCATGAATAACATCTTCAAATAATTGATCGAATGCGTGAATACTAAATATTTCATTAATCATGTGTAAAGAACAAATTCAAATACTTTTGCATAAAAAAGAGCTTGGAAATCGATAGAATAAGTGAAAATAATAGTTGATTTGAATTTTATAATTACATTCAATTTTACCTTTTATTGAGCGGAATTTTCACCCTTCAAATAATTCGATTATTTTTCAGTTTCCAAAGCAATTGTTAATAATACTTCCATATCTTTTTACTGTTATTGATATCGGTATTTTTCTACACATAATATGTAGATTTGTTGCAATCAGTTTTACTAAAATCAACCCATTTCAGTAGTGTATGCCAGAAACTTGAGATTTTTATGAAAATACAATACTGTCTTCAGTTTTAACATTAAATAAAAAGGAAAAATCATTCAGTAATATAAATCAAGATTGATTGACCTGGTATATAGATTTAGTTTTCCTCCTACTTTTTAGCGTTGGATGAAAATGATTTTGTAAGCGGTCTCTAAATATGTATATATAATAAATTGCAGACCAATAGGATTTCATTTAGTAATTTTACGTAAATCTCAAAAGAGATTCGCTAATAAAAGAAAGGTTATTTGTAGCGCATAGCGACGATGGTCGATAGCAAATAACAAAACGCGCTAACCTTGCAATATCAGCCAGAGTTCATACAGATCAATACAGCTCATTATTACCATTATATGACGTATTTGGGGTTATCGTCCGATGTATACAGTCTATTACTAACGACGATATTTAATCCTGCTGACTCAAACAGAAATATTAATAATACAACATAAAGATGAAAATAGCGTAATCACATGGCAATTAAACACTTGCTTGTAACTTTGTCATTGACTATAGTGGAATGTCAACTCAAGTACTGGGATATTGCTACTTACATATAAAACGAGCTTGTTGAGTGCTAATCCTTCTTCCAATATCGTAAACATTTGAATATATGGCATAAGTATAAAAACTCATAAGTCACTTTTCATTTTTCAGATTATAGCAATCTGCATCTCATCTGGAACAGCAAGTTTGATAACGGTCGCTGGAAACGTTTTGGTGATTGCTTCGTTTGCAATTAACAAATCTCTTCGAATTGTGAATAACTATTTGATTCTAAGTTTGGCAGCCGCTGACTTACTGATTGGCACAATTTCGATGAATTTATTCACGATTTCAATAGTTCACGGAGAATGGAGACTCGGTGCAGCTGTTTGTGATTTTTGGTTGACTCTTGATTACGTTGCATCAAACGCTTCAGTTATGAATCTCTTTATCATATGCCTTGATCGGTGAGTACACTGCTGCCAATTGATTTTATTTGTTCTCAACGCCAATTATATACGCCCTTATAAAATGCAATAAATGCATTTTTCTTTTTGGATATACAAAGTTCAACTTGACATTTCAACATTATAGAAATTAAATGTTAGGAATCGTTGGGCAGAATTTCGCTCACAAAAATAGATGAATCAATAAGATGGACTTCATGTAACATTATAACACTATAAACGATCTAGCAGTTCTATTCATTTGATCATGACTTTTTATAACACTTTTATTCAACCAACTGCGATCAAAAGAATCATTCCGCTTTTATGCTCAAATGTATATAGAGCCAAACACTAAAGTCCCTGAAAAGGCACGGTCTCTACATTATCAATATCTAAGTTTGATTGACGGATTCGACAATAAAGAGCGATTAACTTCACGCCGCTGATCAATTATAATTACATGCATCATTTTCCATATTTAGTGGTTTCCTCGGTGTCAAATGATTGGTTTATTCAAATACATCAGTGCGTGCACTATTGATAATAAAATGCGAAATATTTGCATTGATTACATCTACTGCAAATCGAAGAATATGCTCAGCAGTTTTTAAAACCAAACTCGAAACAGATATTTTTTCTGTTCTTATAAAGTTGTTGTATACAACTATACACTCGAGGTCATGTTGAATCACTAGCATCGCTTGTGATATAATATGTTGACAAAGCAATACTATTATTTAAATTCTGTGAAGGGATATGAACAAAAGTACAATACACCGTAAAAATACAAAAGGTGATACCCCTTATAAAAAGATTTCTTTCGGCTTTAACGTGGAGGTATATCACCTTCAGTTTAAAATCAATTTTCCCTTTCTTGTCATACTACCGTGATATTTCATCCTACTCCGTAGTTTTAGTGCTTGATTTAGTCCACTATCATTGTTTCAGGTATTTTTCTGTTACAAAACCCGTAAAATACCGCAACGCAAGAACAAAAAAACGTTTTCTGATGGCGATCGCTGGTGCTTGGATAATATCGTTCGTGTTGTGGGCGCCGTGGATTGCTGGGTGGCAATATATTGTTGGCAGCAGAAGTGTACCAGAGGTAGGAACATTTTTGTTCAGTATTGTTATGATTTGTATGAGTAATTGTGCTAGTCTATAAATAATAAGTACTTTTAATGTACTTTCTCTGACATCTCTGCATATATTACGGCTGTTGAATATACTGACGTTCTGAATGGTGTACCGAAGAAGTAATGCAATCAGATATTAATCAAATCTAGAACTTCACGCACTCACATAAACATCTTTCTTATCAGATACGTTGGCGTTACTTTCCAAGTCAAAATTGTAATTTTGTTAGATTATAATTCTTGGCCTAAAAATTCAAACTCAAGGGCGCACATATATATCATTATTTTGCAAAATATTGTTCGAATGATTTTCAAAGTATGATCAGGTTGACTGAGCCCTGAGCGGCTAAGGAAAATTCATCCATAGCTGCAGAAAGTGCTTAACAATTTATGTAAATATTCTTTACTGAAAGGACACACAGCGTTTCACTAAACGCGGTTGTTCAAATAAATTCCATACTAAATCAAAGTCTCTCTACCTGAATGGATCAAACATGGTGTAAAATGAGGAAATTCAATTCAAGACTGTATGTAGCAAAATGCCGCACCGTCTATTTCCCGCACGCCACATTGACCATGAAATCAACAAAGCAATTTCAGTTTATCGAATTCATACAAATTAGATAGTGCAGTGAATAAAAGGGAATAAAAATGCCTAAAAACATTTTGTCTAATATGATATAAACCTTAATCTATTGAACAAATTATTGTTCATATTCTTATGAAACACAAGAGGAGAAAGAACGCTGGATACAAACTTCAGTCACAAGTTTGAACCTTAGAAGTGACTAGAAAAGCTTATATGAAGTATTTGCTAACGATATAAATATTAGTGGGGAAGTGAACATTTGCCCACGCTCTTTTGCGCTGATTCTTAAACTAGTTTGTGTTCTATCATGTGGACGCATAGAAATGAATTATTCATGCTTAGTTTGCCCACGCTTGAACCCCGGAGATCACATCGGCAAAAATGAAAATAAACATTTTGTGATAAAGTCTTTGAAAAAGATCAGCCGAACACTGATGTGTCTTGAGAACGGCGTGGATTGTAATTGCTTGATTGCTATTCGAAACAAACTTGCAAATATGAAAAGGATGCTGGCTGTCCACTAACTACGGGGAAAACACGGTCAGATGATAAACGCATCCTCGATAATTTCAAGAGTAAATAAAACCCGAAAATAAATGAAATAAATGGTGCACGTAAATAGAAGGTGTTCCCAGTCTGTGGCCAATAAGTTTTTCCGTATAAATAAATATACGTCTACCATGTAAACTGGAATATGAATTTAAATACGATTGTCAGGCTGGACAGATGTTGGTGATCAGATTTACGATAGGTCGTCTGCATTCATTTTCAAAGTTCAATTTTTTTAGCCTAAATCATAAATCATACAGAACACGTCACATAAACATGCACAATGTGGTTTGGGAAGTTTTTTTTATGATCAGACGCATTCAAATATAATTCTTCAGTTTATGTTATGACATGCTGGCTTTGACATCCCTGAAGGCCCATTTTTTACGTGTAAACTTTGAACTTCAGAATCACCACCAGATTTAATACAAACGAGTAAATTGTACGCCAGTCTAGTGCAAATATTTATGAATATTCCAGTTACTAGTACCATTTGTAAAGCTATTGAAGCAAAAATAATAGAATATAGATACGAAACCACGTCGTCAATTTTCTAGTTCTGGTTACGCCGCAGAGAACTAACTGATAGGACGTTTTAAATTAAATTCTGATTGATGTTTTTCGACACAGGTTTCATCTTATAATCAGTAATATTTTTTGACGAGTTAATTATTACGAAATGCGACAATGATGCTTGTATATCCTCAATTTATTATAAATAATTCATTCCAAAGTGGTGTCATATCGAACACGGCAGATGACAAAACTATGTCCTAATAACCACAAGAGGTTTGGATCACGATGACATTGTTGTAATCGACGTCACAACAGCGAACTCACTTATTTCCGCATATATCAAGCCGGCAGCAAATATTTCTCTGCCAGGGAAGCCTGAGCCCATAGAATTTTCTGTAACGCAAATGCCACCTGATGTCGATCATTATAAGAAAGTAAACAACAGCCGTGCATAACTAAAATCTATGTGTACCACGTTAGGGTTAGGCAACCTGGGATTTTTTGAAATACTTGGTATGATTTTTTTAGCTTGAGATATTCAAATAATCAATCAATTTTATCCATCGTTGTGATATAGAGCTGAATGCAAAGCTAATCGTGTATAAAAGAAATAAGCGTCATAAAACAGTGCAAAAATGCTTCGCACTTTCCATATTTATATATTTTCATCAAATCTCACAGATTGCCGTGAAATTGGATTCTGGATATGGTTTTGTCATAAAATATGAAATGTTTTGCATATTTAGCAAAAATTATATTTAACCCAAAATGTTATGAAACCTCACAGCAGGGAAAATGTGGATTTCAAGTGGTCTAAATGCATAAGACTCCATGGAGCTACATTTTTTTTTAGTAAAATCAATGAACAACCATGCACGTCTGTCTTTGTGCGATTACCGTGTCAAAAATTGCTTGAGATATATTTTTAACGTATATTATTGGATATTTGAAATTTATAAACCATATATATCGTTTTTTTCGCAGAGACAAAAAAAATAACGATTCGGAAGACTTATAATCATCCTCCTTATGAAGTCAGTTGCATCAAATAATAACTTCGAATTATTGAATACTCTGGGGTACCGTATAATATCGCCATTGGTGTTGGTAAATTAGAAAGAAATAATATTTATTGGACACTTAGTGAACATAACGATCGTTTCAATATTATGTTGTTGTTGTTCTTATTGTTCTTGGTTTTTGACGCGTTTTTAAAAAGTCGCTTTTCTCTTTGATTACTGGACCAATTGATTTGAAATTTTCGGTAGTTAAAGATGGAATTTTTTTCTAGAAGGCTATTACTTTTATTAATTTCAAATATTCCTGTGAGCTTTATAGGATTCAGCGTAACGTATCCATACATTTGAGCATAGCTCTCTTGTTTTCTTATATTTTGTAAAATTCAAGAAAAGTAAATCCATGATGTTTCGAGGTCGATTACTCGGTTACATTACTTTTATCCGAAATTTTGAAGTTAGATGGTTCAAGCTTGGATCTGATGACAAAAAATAATCGTTTAGCTGTACTGTATTAAAAAATTAATTAAAACGAAATGCCTTTTACATTTCAGAACCAATGCTATATCCAGTTCCTCAAAGAAAACAAAGCTGTAACGGTAATAACGGCGATCGGCGCATTTTATCTACCTGCAGGAGCTATGTGCGTCTTGTATTGGCAAGTTTATCAAGGGATAAAAAACAGCAGGAAGTAAGTAATACCGCTTTTCGACATAAGTGTACAGATGATTGTTTCGTTGTCAAATTGTTGCTAGTGATGTCATAGTTGCTGTTGGGAAAACCCGTTTATCTCTGCAACTAATGAGGCCATCGATCTGAAGAATTCTCAAGGCGGAAATTTTTTCCGAATTCCCGATGCCTAACATGGGATCCAATATTTCAACCAAAATTTGCTTTATATTCACGGGAACACTCTATCCCGCCGCTGGTACCCTGCAATTTTCAGCGAACTTGGTACTAGGCTAAGACAACACAGTACCAGTACGGATTCGCGTAACTATATTTTGGCATTGGTTGTTTAAACATTTGCATGTCAAATAAGTCACTTATGCGAATGTTTTAAAAAGTTTTTAACATGGATTTTAAATCAGAATAACTACTGACTAAGTATAAATATTTGATAATTCAGAAAAATCTTAGGAATGAATAAAACGCCGAATGATGATTCCACAAAGTCTGTCAGTGATGATGAACATGGAGACCATATCACAAAATCAACAAGAAAAAATAATTTCGAAAGATGGCGAATACTTAACTGCTGTGCCAACGAGAAAAAGAAGAGAACTAAGAAGGGTATCAAAGAGAAGCGACACATTTTCACTTTAGCAACTAAATGTTTAGGAGGCATTCTTTGCTGTTTCAAAGGAAACAAGAAAGAAGCGATTTCGCCAAGTGTGAGAGAACGTAAAAACGTCGACGCGTCTAATCAAGCATTTATAAAAGGAGATTGTGCAGATAAAAGCCCGGAAAGGGAATATGAATATAGGTCGAAACCGACCCAATCTTTTCTCGAAATAAATAGAAAAAATGATAATTTTGTATCACGAGAAATTCATCCACAAGAAACCCCCAAACAGGAACCTTTTCATATTCCAAGGAAAGCATTCCTTTATTGAAGGCGACGAGTCTCCACCGGCCTATAACAAACTTCATGCTTCCGATGATGAACAAGCCGTATCGGTTACCATCGATTTCAGACTTTCAAGCAAAAAGCTCAGAGATAAGTTTGAAAACGTCGTCTCGTAAATTGCCAGGAAATCCAGTGGACAAAAAAATGAAGGAATACGCTCTACCAACTCGGTCAGTGAGACGTCTACCAAACATACCCAGAGAATCAAGAAGTACTGCAAATGAAGACGTGCACGGTAAAGAGATACTTTACCGCAGCAAGTCTGGCAAGATATAAATAGCCCTAACATGAGACATGCGTGTTCTGAGCCGTATTTAACTGCAGATAATTCGGGCATACCCAGAGCTGATAGCCCAACTCTGGCCACCACTTATTAACAGAGCTCCAGTTGAACATACGACATGCACTATGAATAGCAATAAGCAACAACCAGCAGTTAAAGTACCCACAGAAATAGTTACTAGCGACCAAGCTCACATTGTCGACGAAGCAGTACTTGCGTACCAAGAAGAAGATACTCTTTTGCAGACAACAATTACAACTGTTGATAGTTCAGATCCGCCTATGTCTGCAATGGCATCTGCAAATGCGACTCCAAATCTTTGTCGAACGAAGGCGGGAAAAGAAATTGCATTTTACGGCACACTCCCCGAAGCAAAGTTCAAATTTAGCAAATCCAACCTATTGCTAAAGTAGGAGATCGATTAAAAACTCAAGCGGTGAAAAAGAAGCTTCAATCTCTGAAAAAGGAGACAAAAGCTGCAAGATTATTGGCTTCAATTTTAGCTGCATTCATTATTCTTTGGACGCCTTACAACGTCCTTGTTCTTGTGGAAGCCTTCTGCTTCGGAGAAGAAACATGCGTCCCAGATATACTATGGAATATAGGCTACTGGTTGTGTTACTTGAACAGTACACTGAATCCCGTGTGTTACGCTATGTGCAACACATCATTTCGACGAACTTTCAAAGTGATTCTTTCCATGAAGTGGCTGGATAAGCGACAACGTAGAATGATGAAACAGGCCCAATATGAAATTCTGATAGAAATGAGCATTTGTAATGTTAGCATAAGATTACAAAGTGACTTGTCTACAAATTTGAGTTATAAACGAGCTCACGATTAAGCTGCCACCCGGACTAGCAAAAGATACTACAATATGAACTCGAAAAAAACATTGAAATCTAATTGAAAACCTCGAATCATTCCAATAACAAAATTAAATATTAGCATGTGGCAATTTTTCTGCATACGTAACGTATGCGATCCCACACAAAATTATTATGACCTCATGAAATCTGTCACAAAGAGTTACCGAAACACTTAGGTCTTAGAGTAATATCACATCATATGTGGCTATTCCCATATGCGAAGGCGGGAAATGTATTATTTTCCATTATCGTACGGTTACAGTTATCGTGCATGAAAATGCAGTGAATAAAGTAAAAATAAATAAAAATGTGTTGTATAGGGATATAGTCAGTGGTGGGATTCAGCCGGTTGCACCGGTTCCATAGAACCGTCTCACGGAATATTATGAGATCAGCGAACTGGTTACTGTCAATGTTCTGTTTGTTACAGAACCGGCTGGAAAATATGATTTTTGTGAAGGGAACCGGCTGACCAAAAATTAGAATCCACCACTGGATATAGTATAATAGAGTAAATGTGTGACCGCAATATTCTATTAAAACCGAAGTATTCTATACCTGTTTTATGCTATGTTGGAAGGCTCGATCAACTGACTTTTGTCTTTGATGGAAAATATTGAGGTCTACTAGACGTTCCGTGGATAAGTGGTTTTCAAGTTCATCATTTAAAAAATGAGCATGTTGTTTTCGGACTGGGTAAGAGGATATATACAATAATTCCGGTCCAGACCAGAAACCTGCCTTTGTTACATCAGCGTATTTTGTAGCAAGAATCGTAGCTTGATATTAATGTAAATTATCTCTATCATTCACATCTAGTAACTTCACACCATCACCAGGGTACTTGATGTTTGGTTGTGGTTGACTACGTTCGGCCGTTTTAATATATAACAGGGTGGTCCAGGTGGCGAGTTGAAGGGCCGCAAAACTTGAGGAGTCTCGTGGGCCGCAGTCGGAGAAACCCAAACGTGATCAAAACATCGCGAGTTTACCCATTTTGAATATATTTAAGAATGAGAGTTTATCGTTCGAATCATTTTTTTAGGGAAACTATTTTTTTTTTTTTTTTATTTTTTTTTTTTTTTTGGTTTAAAGCCTTTATAAATTGCTTAAAATCATTTATTTCGTGAAAGATACTACTAGAAAACACACCCGACGCTGTGGTTTAACGTTGTTGTAGGCAGTATGTTTCACAGTTTTTCGTTCTAGGAAGGGTGTTTCGAAATTTAGGGGGTGGTAAAAATTTTGCTATTAGCGATATACCGATTTGTAACTTATAAAAATGTATTATATATTTGACAGATCTACGCTGATAAATATGCCATTTTCAAATACACTATTACTTGAGTAAAGAATTACAATGTGGTATCGCACCTCAAAATTAGTGGAGTGTTTGAAATTTTAGGGTGGAGGGAAATTACTGGTTGTGGGCAAGGAAATGCGTTTCCTCTCAGTTCACTTCAGTCACCCTTTTCTGCACTTATTGTATGATGAATTGTTATATTTGAAAAAATTTATCACCTGTATCGTAAGCAGGCCTAGTGCTACCGTCAAAAAACAACCAAATCCCGCGATAAAAAAAATGGATCGCGCGGCGCTGAGTCAGCTCCGCGGTTCGTCACATGGCCAACACTTGAAATAGAAGAGTGTTTTTTTACTGAAATAAAGGCGCAAAACGTCCCTCCGGATGAGGAGTTACTTGAAGCGGGCTCATCTTATCGGCTTGGTCCTGTCAGCACAAGACAATTCATTCTTCTTGTACCGATCACAGGACGTCATTCCCAAATAGGCACCGTCTTGGCATTTATAGATACAACAATGAGATTCCGTGATTTTAACAAAGATCGGTGCTCCTGAAGTATGTGCACCAAGATGTCGCATAACCTGAACCCTAACCTGGTACACATACTATGTTCAGGTTGTACGCCATCTTGGTGCACATACTTCAGGAGGTCCAAAGATCAATTCCGACATCGGGATTAGGAAAGGCCTATTCTCAGTTGGAATAGTTTAAAATAAATTAAAATTGTCCTGCTAATAAATACAAATATCTGCCAATGGTTTAGTAGTGTACGCTAAAATTGTTCTGCAGGCCGACGGATGTGTCGGCGTGCCGCAGTTTTTTGGACCACCTGAATATAATATGCGCATAAGGATTAATGTCAATCCATTTTTTTTCTTTTCCATCGGACTTCGCGAAGCACAATTGCCACTAAGTTATCACCATGTGGGAACAGCATGTTCTTTAGCAGAATCTACTCACAAAACTGAACAGACCATCACCCGATGTAACATTTGTTACAGCGTATGCATAACAGTGATATAATCGAATGTAACACATCTGGAGCGGTATATATGGGCTTTGATCTGGAGTATAATCTTGCTAAAAAAACAACGGCTAATCTTCTGCAATAAAAGTGGTTCATATACCGGTGAAGATGATCAGTCAAATATATAACACATTTTTATAAGTTACAAATAGTTTTATCACTAATAACAAAACGAGAATATCGGTTGGAAACCGAAGACTTATCGACCGATAGTTAGGGGATCCCCCAAAACAGAAACTGCAGTTTCGATTCATCCGCTCTTGTAACTTGCGCACTGCGCATCGCACACACACACTCGGCGGGTTTCAAAATTCTCTCGCTTTACAAAAATCTAGATCACTATATCAATAATTGATTGATAACTCGCTAATTATACGACATAATTCGCCCAAAATCAATAGGATTCTGGTCCGAGATAAGATGAATGCACATGCAAAATCTGGAGCAGATTCAATCCCGCTTTCGTGAGATATCGCGTGCATCTAACAGACACACACACACACACACAGACAGACAGACATACATACAAATACCTATCAATATACTTACCGATCTTAAGATCGATAAATATCAAAGTCGGAGAACATACTGTGACAGATATATATTTAACGTTAGTTACATATCTGTACATGTAACAAAAGAAAAATTATTTAGAATGTGAAAGTTAATATTACAATTCAAAAGTTTTACTTATCATTGCAACGTCGTGAATAGTGTTCGATGTGAAAATTCAAATTCGTCAACCTTCGAAATATATTTTACAACAATCCCAAACTCGCAATCACCTCAACCCGTAGACATAAAAGCTCTCCCAGTACTGGTTTCAAGCGTGTAGAGATTTCTTTATGTGACGTCATAATGCTTGGTATTATTTCTAAAATTCATTTCAAATCGACTTTAGTCAAAATGGGTTATGATGCGGCAACGTTTTATTTCCCGTTCTGTAATATGTTGCGGAAATCAGCAATAAATGAGGCGAAATAAAGTCGGAATCGGGGATTCCGATAGTGTAGTGAGCAACTCAATCAAACGAATTTCTTGTGGAAGAAAGAAAAGAAGCAGGAAAAACAAAAAACAGGTGAGATAATACGTTGTTAAAAAAAAAACTTTCGACACTGGAAATTACATGTAGTGATCATCTAGGTGGGTTCGGCTCAACACATCCGTGAAGCAGTTTTTACTATATGGTGATAAGCAATGCTGTGGGGTTAAAACACGAACATTCTTCGTGATTTTGAAGATGCCCTATTAATCGAATCCACTGTTCATAATATTACTCTTGGCCTGTGTGTATGACGTAGGGGTGACGACGTGCTTGCACAGAGAACCTGAGCGTATGTACATTAACTTTAGTATATATCGGTTCCTAATTCAGACTTTTGACATTTATGATGTACCCGTGTTGGGGGGGGGGGGGGTGTTTTGTAAGGAATGCCTGTCGACCTTTATTATTCCGCGTGGGATTTAGATGAATATTTGTGGTCCCAACTTAGAACTTATACAGCTGTATGCACTGGCAGAATGGCATTGATCTGATACCATATCATGCACGCACCACTGATAAATGTGCGAGAGCGTTGGGAGAAGGGGTGTTTAGTTGTTGGTGGATACTGTTAATGTAATTCAGTTATGTCTGTGTGTGGAGGGCTAGAGATGAGAAGGAACACGAGTATGATGTATTTGCGCTGGTACCGGTACTTGCTTGAAGCATATCGCCACCGTGTTCGCAGATAAATGAGGCTTACAAACAGCGAAACAGGGACGTACAATACGAATTTTATATTAGAATATCACGACCTTCGAATATCGGTATCGTTTTAGTGTTTATAAGCATATCGCACGAAAGTCCGCGTTTTGATTGAAAATATTTCACAGTTATCTTATATTTCATCATCCGGGTAATTGAAGATAGTCGCGTGCGCCGTCGTAACATACCGGTACATACATAAATCTTAGCGGACATGAGAAATTTAAATCACCGTCACTCGAGGTACGTATAGCACATCAACACTATGAGGACGTTTTTGATTGAAAATATTTTCCAAATATTATCATAAATTCATTTCATCATGGTCCAGATAGCGCGGCCGCAGTAGGTACTTACAGCAAAAATTGTACCAGTATGCAGTACGGTATGTAATTATTTGTGTATTGTCGCCAGATCCTATCATGATCGGGCATAACAGAAATTTCTCGCGATTTAAAGCCTCTGAAATAGCGTTGACATTATTTAGTTTATATAGCGGATTTTGTTGACGAAAATATTATTCAATTTAAGTTAGCGGGATAAATTTATAATTAAAGATAAAAACATTACCTCAAAATAAAATTGATTGATTACAAATCCACAAGAAATATTTCACTTATTTAAATCAGCGCCAAACCACAATGCCATTTGGTTTATTTATATCTGTTTCATTATGATAATAATATTCAAGGACAATTTATGGTTATGGCCATCCCAGTTTACAGGTTGAGCGACATGGCACTATCGTCCAGTGGTCTGACAGACTGAGTTTGGCAACTGGTCAACAGACGATAGCCATATGATTGACAGTTGTTTTCAGCGACCCTTTCTTCCTCTCATATACTAGAATTGTGAACAATTTTACAGGAGTCAGAGAAGAAGGAAACTTCTGATTCTCAGGGGTGTGCAGGCTCTGAGGGGTCTGCAGCCTCTGAGAGCTCCTCAGCGTTTCACTGCTTCCTGGCAGGCCTAGCATGGATCTTGACAATTCTTCACTTCACCAAGAAAAATAAGGTAAGATGATTTCTTGATGAGCATTTCTCAGTGATGACTATAAGTGGAAGCAGTGTAACTGAAGATCTAATAATATCCTCTCGGTCATAAATTGTCTATGAGACATATATGTTGTCTTAATTGCAACCTGCATCAATGAGCCTAGTCAATTTTCGGCAAAGGCTAGATTGGCGAAATCAACTTTGAAGTCCGTCTTAATATTGAAATAGAGTAAAATCCAATTCATACATGATTTAATATTGTTATTCTATCGCTCACTGAAACTTAATCCAGGTTTCGACAGAATGTGATGTTATCCCGAATTCTGCACCGAAACTAATAAAAGTGGAACCGACAGCAGAGAATAAACCAATTTTGTCTGTTGGTAATTCATCTTCACATGATGATATCTTGCAGGTATGTTGCATAACCTTTAGTACGATGCATAACTTTCATCTTTATTCACCTTTCTACATCAGTGCGTCAACTTTTGTTGTTATAGGCATGGTGCAATGATACATAATCTCAATATGTTGGCAATTTGTGTCGCAATAGTTTTGCACTGTTTCGCAGCCTTGCTTGAAGAAAAACTCCTAAAAAACTACAAATTTATTACGAATCTGATGACATATACTTTGTAATGACCCGAGGGTCATACTGACTAATAAAAGTTGGATGAGTTTTGTAAATTTCCAAAGTTTTAATTTAGTCACCAGCAAAATCTGGGCAAGGAAACAACGAGGCGGTTAAGATCAAGATAGAAAGTCCAACATGTGATGATGTGAAATCAACTACTTCTGAGAGATCAAAATCAATCCAGAAGAAAGAAGAGAAGAGAGATGGTTGCAAATCACCAAATAAGGTACATCTTACTTTGACCAAAATGTTCAGATTTTGTTGACAGTCAGGTTTCCAGGCTCGGCTGCATGGCGCATTGTGCTAATTGTTAGGAATTCGCTCGCCACTGCACATCCGATTACCCTGCATGGGATTACATACGAGAGTATTGTTGAACTCCTCATACCCAATGGGTGGTTTAAGTAACCTCTGGTCAGTTCAGCTTCTCCACGATCAAGTATCTGAAACAAATAACTATTTAATTGATCCCATGTACGACATGGACTGGTCACTGGGCGAGAGGCTGTGGTTCGGCATATGATTCAGTCGTCTTATTGGCTTTCCTCTCCTCGGGATAATTATGTAACTATCCTATATTGGATTCGTGTGTTTATCTGATTTTTTCCCAAATCAAGCAATAATATTTTTTCCAGGTTCAAGCAACACCTCAGACAGATTGCATTGATCTGAAAGAAAAGAGCCCGATCAGAGTGGTTGGATCTCCATCTCCAAGTTCTGCTTCTTCCTCCGCCATGAGAAATTATAGTCAAAGTGAGACAACAAAAAAAGCAGAAGATGGCAAACAACTATCTTCTAAGGTCTGTTTTGTAGCATTTCTTATAAGATTGGTTCGAGTGATAAAAACAACAATATGGTGACAATAGAAATTTATATTCGTCACTCGATTGTCATCATGCCCAAGAAAAATACTACCAAATATAAAATTTAAATTTTTGTTCTATCGCATATTTGTTTCAGATTCCATTCAATCCCGAACACAATTTAGGTGTTTCACAAGGAAAGACATCCAGCTCTGTAAATGATTCTCCAACTTCTGAACCACTTTCACTGGATGGTGAACAAGACGAGCCAGTCAGGAAAGATGGGAACAACAACAAATTATCTTTGGAAGTGAGTTTTTAAATGCATTGTACGAGTACATTGATCTAAAATTAGCGATTGCGATTCACAATTGTTATAAATATATTCAAACAAGAAAGTATTAGTCTCATGTTTCTGTCTCCAATGTGATATCTTTAAAACAACTAATGTATTAGTCTAGCAAGTTCTAATTCCTTTTATCCAAAGTTACGATTCTTCCAATCAATCACCATTCGTATGTTCCTTGTCTAGGAACCAACAAGAGACTGGCAAAAAAATGAAAAAGGCGAACAATTAGATATGGGGGTATATTTTCTATTCTTAATACTCACCAACTCGAATACTGCTGATCTCACAAGCTCTCAAATCGGGGGTTTTGATATTGCGAATAATGTTTGCAGGTGGCATAGTGTCTTGGTAGGAATTTCCTTTGGGATCTTGTTTTTATACTTCAATGTGTACTTTAATGGTATTCAAAAATAAATCAATTATCTATCTATCACAATATGAAAGGAATACTGATGGATGATAGTATGGAGGTGCTTAGATCTTATCAAATGACTTGTGTACTTTAATGACACACAACCTCTATCGTCAATCTGTGATTGTGTAGCTTATTTTTAACTTATAACTAGTGTAAACCTATATTTTACTCTGCTGTTTTTCTATTAGTTTAGATCTAACTGTTTGGGTCCACTATCAACTACTTCATCTGGAGTTTTACCATTTTTACCCTGAGATATACCATTTTTGCGAGTGTGTACTGTAACTTATGAGTGATTTTGTGATCCATAATTATATTGATTTAGCTTCAAGCAAAACCTGAAATGATTTTGGACGATTTGCAAGAAAAGGCTTCAGTGTTTGTGAACGATCTTCTGACTTCGGATTCCTTGAAAATCAAACTGTCCGCAGCGGTCAGGGAGAGTATGGATGGTGGAAGAATACCTTCAAAGGTTTTTATAGTTTTTTCTGAAAATCTAGAATATTTTTCTGATTTTTTTCATACTTGTCTTGAAATGAAAATTGTTATAAAAAATCATTTTTCGACTTAGTTGTCAACATAAGAGAACACAATTAATAGACAGAATAATATATGTTTACAAAATGCTATACCTCTTCCACTAGTAGAATTGATTGTTGCCTTTTCCTGATTTAGTTACCAGCACAGAATGAAACAATCAGTGATAACTTGAATGAACAATCCCAAGTTAACAATTCGGATTTGACGAAATTCATCAAGTCTGAGGAAAAAGTACAAGACACTTTGGAAACATCTTCTCAGGTAAAATTTTAAGTAAATTTACCATATAACAGCATGTTACAATGGTAAATTCACTGTTTTAAATTACAGTACCATTTACCTTGTAATGAAAATTTGATGTTTTAATTGATATATAGGTTTCAGCAACTTGCGAAAACAAGGGAGCTGATGAGGGACATGAGAAAATTTTGAGCGATAGTGTTGAATCTCTCCCATCAGATATTTCTGTCTCTAATGGAAACTCGACAGCAGAACAAGTGCTTGATCTGGAATTGCCAGTTCAGGTAATATAATTTATCATAAAGTCAAAACGCAGAATTTACATATTATTTTCATGATAAGATAAGATTCTACGTTATTATAAGGTGTTATGAAATTTCACCATAATATTTTATTCAGACTGAATCTGTACTTGAATGCAAATTGACCGATTTGCTAGAAAAGAACTCGGAATCCGAGATCGATTCTTCAATATCCGATGCGCTTTTGTTTGATGTCAAACATGAGGAATCCAAGGATATTGACGCTGGCAAGAAGTTATATTCTGAGGTGAGTTTTTAAACATTCTCGATGGTCATGCAACAAAGTAGTGAGGTTGAAAATTGTATTTGGTGATAATTTCATTGAAATTAAGAAACAGGAATGATTATTGTGCCAGCATGCACACTGAACATTTTGTATTTCCTTCATGTCAATCCATATATTCTTTCGTCTGTTTTATTCAGAGTCAAGTAAGATCTGAAAAGATTTTGGATAATTTGCAAGCAAACACTTCAGTTTCTACGAATGATCCTCAAACTTTCGATTCTCTCAAAATGGAACAGGATGCGACGATCAAGGAAATTGGAAATGGTGATAAAATACCATTGAAGGTTTGTTTTTCAAACTTTCAGTATTTCTAAATCAAAAATGAGTGAGTGAAAATTATGCAACTAGTGAGGATAATATATGTTTCCTGAATAGTATAACTCTTCTGCAGGTAGAACCATGATTATTTGTTTCTGATTGTTTAAAAAATTTTCGATTTAGTTACCAGCTCAGGAGGAGACGATCAGTGATAACTTGAATGAACAATCTCAAGTTAACAATTTGGATTTGACAAAATTCATAAAGGCTGATGAAAAAGTGCAAGACACTTTGAAAACATGTGTTCAGGTAACATTTTAATGTAAATTTAACATATAACAACATGTTACAATGCTAAATTCACTGTTCTAAATTACAGTACCATTTACCTTGTAATGAAAATTCAATGTTTTAATTCATATATAGGTTTCAGCAACTTTCGAAAACAAGGGAGCCGATGAGGGACATGAGAAAATCTTGAGCGATAGTTTGGAATCTGTCGCATCAGATATTTCTGTCTCTAACGAGAACTCAACAGCAGAACAAGTGCTTGATCTGAAATTGCCAGTTCAGGTATAATAATTTATCATAAAGTCAAAACGCAGAATTTCTCCATTATTTTCATGATAGGATAAGATTCTACCTTATTATAAGGTGTTGTGAAATTTCACCATAATATTTTATTTAGACTGAATCTGTACTTGAATGCAAATTGACCGATTTGCGAGAAAAGAACTCAGAATCCGAGATCGATTCTTCAATATCCGATGCGCATTTGTTTGATGTCAAACATGAGGAATCCAAGGATATTGACGATGGCAAGAATGAGGTGAGTTTTTATAAACATACTCGATGGTCATGCAACAAAGTAGTGAGATTGAAAATTGTATTTGGTGATAATTTCATTGAAATTAAGAAACAGGAATGATTATTGTGCCAGCATGCACACTGAACATTTTGTATTTTTCTTTTTGTCAACACATAAATTCTTTTTGTTTGTTCTATTCAGAGTCAAGCAAGATCTGAAAAGATTTTGGATAATTTGCAAGCAAACACTTCAGTTTCTACAAATAATCCTCAAACATTTGATTCTCTCAAAATGGAACAGGATGCGACAATCGAGAAAATTGGAAATGGCGATAAAATACCATTAAAGGTTTTTTTTTTAAACTTTCAATATTTCTGAATGAAAAGCGCGGTGAGTGAGAATTACGCAATCGTGATGATAATTTATTTTTACTGAATAGTATTAGATATGATTATTTGTTTCTGATTGTTTGAAATTTTTTCATTTTTCTGATTTAGTTACCAGCACGGGAGGAAACAATCAATGATAACTTGAATGAACAATCTCAAGTTAACAATTCGGATTTGACAAAATTCATCAAGTCTGAGGAAAAAGTGCAAGACACTTTGAAAACATTGTCTCAGGTAAAATTTTAAGTAAATGTAAGATATAACAACATGTTACAATGGTAAATTCACTGTTCTAAATTACAGTACCATTCACCTTGTAGTGGAAATTTAACGTTTTATTTATATATAGGTTTCAGCAACTTGCGAAAACGAGGGAACCGATGAGGGGCATGAGAAAATCTTGAGCGATAGTGTTGAATCTCTCGCATCAGATATTTCTGTCTCTAACGGAAACTCAACAGCAGAACAAGTGCTTGATCTGAAATTGCCAGTTCAGGTATAATAATTTATCATAAAGTCAAAACGCAGAATTTCTCCATTATTTTCATAATAGGATAAGATTCTACGTTATTATAAGGTGTTGTGAAATTTCCCTATAATATTTTATTTAGACTGAAAATGTACTTGAATGCAAATTGACCGATTTGCTAGAAAAGAACTCAGAATCCGAGATAGATTCTCCAATATCTGATGCTCTTTTCTTCAATGGCAAACATGAGGAATATAAGGATATTGATGCTGGCAAAGAGTTATATTCTGAGGTGAGTTTTTATGAACATACATGATGTTCGTGTGCCAAAGAATTGATTTCGAAAATCGTATTAGGTGACAATTTCTCCAAAATTAAAAAACGGGAATGATTATTTTGCCAGCATGCACACTGAACATCTTGTATTTCCCTCATGTCAATCCATATATGCTTTTGTCTGATTTATTCAGAGTCAAGCAAGATCTGAGAAGATTTGGATGATTCGCAAGAAACACTTCAGTTTCTACAAATGATCTCAAACTTTTGATTCTCTCAAAATGGAACAGGAAGCGACGATCAAGGAAATTGGAAATGGCATAAAATACCATTGAAGGTTTGTTTTTCAACTTCATATTTCTGAATCAAAATACAGTGAGTGGAATTATGCAACTATGAGGATAATATATGTTTACTGAATAGTATAACTCTTCTGCAGGTAGAGATATATTATTTGTTCTGATTGTTTAAATTTTTTCCATTTAGTTACCAGCTCAGGAGGAGACAATCAGTGATAACTTGAATGAACAATCTCAAGTTAACAATTCGGATTTGACAAAATTCATAAAGTTGGAAGAAGTGAAAAGACACTTTGAAAACCCTTCTCGGGTAAAATTTCAGATAAATTAACATATAACAACATGTTACAATTGCTAAATTCACTGTCTATGATTACAGTAAAAATTTACCTTGTAATGAAAATTCAATGTTTTAATTCATATATAGGTTTCAGCAACTTTCGAAACAAGGGAGCCGATGAGGGACATGAGAAAATCTTGAGCGATAGTGTTGAATCTCTCGCATCAGATATTTCTGTCTCTAACGAGAACTCAACAGCAGAAACAAGTGCTTGATCTGAAATTGCCAGTTTCAGGTATAATAATTTATCATAAAGTCAAAACGCAGAATTTCACCATTATTTTCATAATAGGATAAGATTCTACGTTATTATAAGGTGTTGTGAAATTTCCCTATAATATTTTATTTAGACTGAATCTGTACTTGAATGCAAATTGACCGATTTGCTAGAAAAGAACTCAGAATCCGAGATCGATTCTTCAATATCCGATGCTCTTTTCTTCAATGGCAAACATGAGGAATCTAAGGATATTGACGCTGGCAAAGAGTTTTATTCTGAGGGTGAGTTTTTAAAAAAACATGTTTGATGGGTCGTGCGACAAAGAATTGAGTAAATTCACTGTTCTAGATTACAGTACCATTTACCTTGTAATGAAATTTAACGTTTTATTTCATATATAGGTTTCAGCAACTTGCGAAAACAAGGGAGCCGATGAGGGACATGAGAAAATCTTGAGCGATAGTGTTGAATCTCTCGCATCAGATATTTCTGTCTCTAACGGAAACTCAACAGCAGAACAAGTGCCTGATCTGGAATTGCCAGTTCAGGTATAATAATTATCATAAAGTCAAACGCAGAATTTTCATATTATTTTCATGATAGGATAAGATTCTACGTTATTATAAGGTGTTATGAAATTTCATCATAATATTTTTATTTAGACTGAATCTGTACTTGAATGCAAATTGACCGATTTGGTAGAAAAGAACTCAGGATCAGGGATCTATTCACCAATATCCGATGCTCTTTCTTTTGATGGCAAACATGAGGAATCCAAGGATATTGACGATGGCAAGAAGTTACGTTCTAAGGTGAGTTTTAATAAACATACTCGATGGTCATGCAACAAAGAATTGAGGTTGAAAATTGTATTTGGTAACAATTTCATCAAAGTTAAGAAACAGGAATGATTATTTTGCCAGCATGCACACTGAACATTTTGTATTTCCTTCATGTCAATCCATATATGCTTTTGTCTGATTTATTCAGAGTCAAGCAAGATCTGAAAAGATTTTGGATAATTTGCAAGAAAACCCTTCAGTTTCTACAAATGATCCTCAAACTTTTGATTCTCTCAAAATGGTCAAGGAAATTGGAAATGGCGATAAAATACCATTGAAGGTTTGTTTTTTCAAACTTTCAATATTTCTGAATCAAAAATACAGTGAGTGAGAATTATGCAACTAGTGAAGATAATGTATGTTTACTGAATAGTATAACCAGGGATGGCCAATTCGAATAAAGTATTCGAATGTATTCGAATATCTCGTCATTCGAATATCGGAATTAGCGTTCATAAGAATATCGGATATTTGTGTGACGTCACACATTTTCGACGCCGCTTTCAAGACGTTTCCGTTGAATGAAAACATTCTCGATAGAAACTTGCGCATGATTGTATTCATCACTCATCGGCGTAACATGTTATTTAGGCCCGTAAACGCCTTTACGTTTGTGTTATTTTCTCTAAAACGAAAATTTACCGCAAATTTGTTCCACGATGACGATGACAATTATTTTATTTTTGTACGCGCACGGAATTGTGAATCTGGTAAATACGCCCATCAGCGGCGAGTTTCTAAAGACAACGCAACTTTTGATTGGAAAGCGGCAATTTAAAATACTGAAAATAATACTGTAAACAATATAAGTTTTATTGAGGCCCGCGAAAATTTAAAAAACGCTTTTCTAGGCAGTGAAAGTCGCAAAATTTCGTGTGCCTGGCACACATTATGTTTAGAAACATATCGTCACGAATTGAGGGCGGGATTTGCCTTGATTATCCAGTACTTTAAATTGCCGTCGAATATTTTCGTGTTAACACGATACAAGGTTTGAAACGTGACTTTTCCCGGGTTGTGAGGATGTATATAATATAATTAATCTAAAGTATATTCAATCAATTTTATTGTGATGAAATAAATTTTACTCTGAGATGTTACAGCATATTTATTGATTTTTCGAACGGTTTTATCTAAAAATAATCAGAGTGGCAGCATTTCAATTGAGCGGAGTCACTGTTAACAAGTACATCTGAATACTTGCCGAGACAATTAAATTAATAAAGCAAGACATTTTAAATATGCCCGTATCGGTCACGAATATATCACTTTGCACAACAGAAAAATATATATTCGTTGTTATATTATTTGTTGTAAAAGTCGTCTCTTTTAACAGGTGGCATAATCGCGGCGATGAATATGTATTTTTAATTTACTGTTAAACTTTATATGTATATTCATTGTATGAAATGAATTATACTCTACACTTAACAGGATTTTATATCATTATTTGAGATTTTTTTAACGGCGATAACGAATTGGCAAGATTGCAAAAATATGTATTAAAATTAAATACATCAGGCAGTTTATCTCGTAATTTTAGGTCACAGATCGCCGTGGACCGAATCGTAATGTTTTTTTTTGACGTAAGAAGAAGCAACCGCGAGTTACAATGGACACATTAAATTAATATATAAAGATATTTTAGAATCTCGTAGTTGTCATGGATTGAATATTTTACGTAACAGAATGATCATTATACGCTGAAAAGACGGCTCTTTTAACGAGCGCGGAATCGCGGCGAGTGTTACAGGCGGCAATGGTAATTTCCTATTTCGAAAATCCTGGCTGCGCGGCCGGCAGTGGTGGTCATCTATCCTCTGCTAATTATTTCTAATTTCAAACACAACAATATGTTACACATGAATTAATATACAAATATACTGGTTAAATATTAGAATTTTTAAAGGCATAATGGATTTTCGATTGCTGTTGCCTGTATTGCCAATAAATTTTATTACCCTTAGAAAATATACACAATTATCTGAATACAAGTAGTATTTTTGTCAATAGACTTGGCTATTATCGTAATATCATGGTACTAATGATAGAAAGCTTCAGACCACTCCTTGGCTATCTTTTCATATGGTCATTTGTACAAAGTGAATAATTTTAATAAACTGACTGTGTCACAAGTTGCTATTATTTTTTATTGATAGCTATAAACTATCAATTACTTTGTGTACATATACTGTTGGTTTGTGGCTCTATTCTGATATTTCTATTGAAACTCATTTCCTAATTTACTGGGTTTTAATGAACTAAAACAAAAATGTGTTATTTTCGATTTTAGAATGTATTCGGAATTCCAGATTCGAAAACATTATTTTAGAATGTATTCGGAATAGTTTAGTATTCGGAAATGGCCATCCCTGAGTATAACTCTTCTGCAGGTAGAGATATGATTATTTGTTTCTGATTGTTTGAAATTTTTTTCATTTTTCTGATTCAGTTACCAGTACAGGAGGAAACAATCAATGATAATTTGAATGAACAATCTCAAGTTAACAACTCGGTTTTAACAAAATTCATCAAATCTGAGGAAAAAGTGCAAGAGATTTTGAAAACATCTTCTCAGGTAAAATTTTAAGTAAATTTAACATATAACAACATGTTACAATGATAAATTCACTGTTCTAAATTACAGTGCAATTTACCTTGTTATGAAAATTCATCCTTTTAATTCATATATAGGTTTCAGCAACTTGCGAAAACAAGGGAGCCGGTGAGGGGCATGAGAAAATCTTGAGCGATAGAGTTGAATCTTTCGCATCAGATATTTGTGTCTCTAGCGGAAACTCCACAGGAGAACAAGTGCTCGGTCTGAAATTGCCAGTTCAGATTGAAGATAAACCTGAGCACAGATTGACTGATGTTCAAGGAAAGACTTTAGTCACTGTGACTGAACCTTCAGCTTCCTCTTCCATCTCTTTGAACAGAGAACTACAGGAATCAAGCAGGAAGGTTGAAGACGGCAAACCATTGCAGTCTAAGGTAGGATTTGGAATTTAATGGTAACGATTCCTCATATCGGGGTACAAAATGCACACATCCCCTAATTGGAGCGCAAATTTTGATGTGAATTACATGTGCAGGGTACTCGTAGCAAAAAAATTAAGTCAAGCGCAAATTTTGATTCGGATTGAATGTCCGAAGCACTCGAAACAGAAAAGTTACTCAAATACAAATTTTGATCTAGATTAGATATCATAAGTATTCTCAGATATAAACTTCTGAACAATATTTTAACAATACACAATGAAACCTCTTATTTAGAATGATATCCAACTCCATTTCAAATTAAATGATGCAAAGAAAAAAGTTTCAGTTTACGAGACGAATTCTTTATCGTTTAATACAAAACAAGACCAGACAGTTGGAAATGATTCGGTTGGTTCCTGCTTCAATATATAAATGTCTATACTGATATGGATGCAAAATTTGTTCTTGATTTTTACAACTTTTAGATCAAATTATCATTCCTTTGTTACGACTTGTATAAAAATGCACTGATAATTACAGACAATTTGTGTTTTTTCAGAAAATTATATTTCGAGACCGTAGACTAGCAAAAGTGGATGGAAATCCTTTCCAAAATTCAACAAAAAGTAAGTCAGTATGAGTATGCATCAGATTTTTTTTATCTTGTTTTCTTATATGCAGCGTGCTCATTGATGCAATGGTCGACAAACGAGGCCTGCAAGCAAATTTTTCGTGGTCCTCAAACTAACTCACTTAAATGCATAAAACAAAAATTAATCATGAATTTATTATTATCTGCGCACGGATGTAAAGTGTTACAGTGGCTGTTGTACAGCGTTTTTTGTACTGATTATCATGAGCGAAATCACATACTAGCCGAATGTGACTACTGACTACCGTTAGTTGTAGTTAACGCAGATCGCAGAAATAGGTCTTGCGAGCGTGCCATAGTTTGAAGCTAAATGTGGTAGTTGTTAATAGCCGGGAATGATGTGGCCCGCACGCTACCTAAGTCAATGTGCATATTTAGCCCAGTAGTACATACAGTAGTACGACAGTACAGTACAGTAGTACGACCACTGTATTCATGGGAAAATATATTTCTATGTCTTCTTGTTAGTTGACCTCTGTGAGGAGTGCAACACTTCTTTGAACATGGCTTCGTACATGCAGATGCAGCTACTAATATAGAGAGCTACTAGGTTTCCTACTATGAATTTTCCGGTTTGGCCTAGCCTATCCGTTTTATTACACCCATGCGGTTGACCATTACAGTTGTAAATGACGTCTTATGATAAGGAATGAATTTGATTGCAGATTTATTTTGAATCATAGTCTTCATAGATATTAATTCGTTAAATACCTTTGTATAATATGTTGATTGAATTCTATTATTTTTATTGAAGTTCATGGAGATTACGGAATAAAACCGAAAGCAGACAAAAAAACTCTTCCTATACCGATTCGGAGATGTGGAGGTAACATATTTATGAGTAGTTGGTGCCAGTATGGTACGTGATCTCACCAACATAAACTACTTCTGTATGCGATCTCAATGGCAGACACATCACACCACGATTGGTGCCATTTTAGTATCTGTTTAATCTCATAAAGACATTTTCATAGAATTTATTTCCTAACTTTGTCAGAGTTGGGTTAGGTTAATAGTAAAATCATTAAGATCACATGCCAAATTAGCATCGAATAGTTTTGTGTATTTGATGCATTTGCACTAAACGAGGCTTAGCATGAGCAGTTGCTGATTTGTAAGTAGCAAAGGTCATTATGACCATTTTGGTTTCACAAAATCTGCCCGACTGCGCTCGAGGTGGAGTGTAGAGTGTAGGGTTTGAACTCGTGATCTTTAGCAAGAAGACATTAATACCAATGCACTAACAATAGGCAATCATGTATTAAACATCTTTAGTCTTTTAAATATAAAAAAAAACTGTAGAATAGTTAATTTTTAGGGGTTGTTGAGTTTAGTTGTGTCAGTTTTTTTTTTCATCTAAGTCAGCTGACATTTATTCTACTTTTTCTATAATATTGTTACTGAATAATATTGGTTTTTATTTTTAGTAAAATTTGACAATAAACTGAAGACTTTAAGCAGACAGATTCCATTCTATGGCGAGGGATGCGTAAAGTTTTTAGAATCCAATTCGGATGAAGAAGGCGAAGAATATTTCGAAATAAACGAAGATGTTGACAGTGGTAATTGGTCTTTTTGAATTGTTGGAATTTTTGTAGTTTAGCTTTATCTGACGAATAATAAATTTTTGTATTATAAGATGATTCGGACACTCAAAATAATGACGGAATAATAGAAAAGTTGGACGGACCCCTGGAAGAAAATCATCATGGTAACACTAAGTTTTTGGAAATATTTCTCAAAGAGAATACTCAATAAAGTACAAAGAAGTGAATAGGATTAGATAGTAATTAAGTAATATCATAGTCATTTATTCATATTCATTTTGTATGCCATTTCTAGATATTTTCATGATTTTACTAGGTGAACTTGATTATAAACATTGAAGTAAATCAAAAGAATTTGGTACATTTTAATATGTTATGTTTTTATTGAGCGATGAATTTATATTTTGTAAGATGGTGCGGGATTTCGTATCAGCAACAGAGAGGAAGAAAATCTTTTTCTGCAGCTCGAAGGCTTTTGTATTGAAGGTACAAAATTCACTCCGAAGCCTCCTCCAGAAGAGAAAGAAATAATGGAAGAGATCGATGCCGGTAAATCTCGTTCATTCAATTGATTAAACTGAATCGAAAACCCTCTAAGTTGCAAAACATTTTTTCAGGCTGTGATGAAGTTGTTGAGCCAAGCCGAGTGGAAACCAACAGACGACGAATGTCAACAAGAAGAGGACCAATGGGTATGCATGGTTTTTATTGGAATTGATTTAATGAGAGTATAATCAAATTATAAAATTAATAATTGAATGTGGTTATGAAATCTCAACATTACGAATTAAATAAAGTTTCTATTCTGTGCAATGACACAAAATATTTAAGTACCGTATTTAACGGACCATAATGTGCTCTTTCGCAACCCACCTATTTTCTTTATCTTCTGCGTAAAACATATTTCCGTTCCTATATTTCATAAGCAGACTTCAACAACACACTCCAAGTATTGAGCAGAGAAATTCCACATTATGGTGGTTTCAGAAAACACAGGAATTATGGAATTGAATTGGATGAAAATAAGGAAGATGATGAAGATATGGAAAACATTGAGGAATTCATAATACATGGTAACCATATTTACAATCATTGCGTTTTTTCGATTTATTTTCATCAAATTTTTAATAAAATTACTGAATTGTCAGGTGATTCGGATACTTCTATCGGAGAAGAAAGCGAAAATAAATATTGTGAAAACATCAGTTCGAATGAATTGTTGGAAGAAATTGAAGAAAAGATCGATAAAGGTAACTTTGTTATAAGTTCTTATTTAATGCAGGGTTCTTTAAACTGGGGGTCCAACCCCTTGATGGGTTGCAAAAAGGCCCAATGGGGGTTGCTGTATGTTTCAATAACATCATTAAGGCATTGACAAGAAAACAGTCTAAACAGATGAGGAAAATAGATCCTGACTTGATGAAGCTGAACGTTACACACTTAGGTGAGCTGCAAGAATTTGATTTGAAGGAAACCAAGAAGTGCACTCCTCTCAGACAATACAAAATCAAACGTTGACGAGCCATCAAGCGTGACGGAACTATTGTTACATCACAACTTCGCTTCTAGTTGTTTACGTTCTTGAGCAATTTTCACAATACTAGTAAGATTTTACTTCATTTTACAATTAAATTATTTTTTTTAAAGGTGCTGGAAAATCCACAAAACAACCTAAAGGCAGTACTGGAAAATCCTCTGGTATAAAGCCGATGGGTATGTATGATTTTACATATAATATTAAATGTCACACAACCAGCTAATTCAAGCCACAATGCTCAGGTGTGTGATGTGTTGTGGGTTTGGATAGATAGGAAACTTTAAGCAAATGATTAGAGTAAGCATATGAAGTGGAAACCCTGGTGATATTAATGGATCAATCATGTGAATATCTTCAACGTCAACCCTGTTTTATCTAGTGTAAAATGCTACTATATTCTTATGATAGGATAGGAATTTTGTATTAATCCTGGGGAGAAGAAAGTTCATAAGACGACTTGATCATATAACGCAGGGGTTCTCAACCTTTTTTCTGTCAAGTACCCCCCCGAGTCACGAAACAATCAATGCGAACCCCCGGAAATCAGACACCGAACAAAGTTGTAATATATTGACTAACAATTTGTTGCAACACCAATTTATTGACCTTATGTAACTTAATTAAATCGTCTTGTTGATAGCATTGCCCTTGTCGTCTGCCTAACTAATGAATTTATAAAATCTCTCCCAAGTTTCAATAAGCATAATCACATCTCCAATGCTCGCAGCACACTGTCTTTAAAGATTTCACAGTTTGCATGCCGAACCTTGAATTTCACATTGTTGCGCCACAATCACAACAACGCAACATCAGGGAAAATTTACCATTCAATTGGCATCTAGTTCAATGGACACGCATTTTCCTATGGTAGTAATAAAGGATATTGAAAAAGATCATCACACAAAAACTCGACTGCCATCCAAGTACCCCTGGAAATTTTCTCGTGAACAACTGGGGGTTCGCGAACCCCAGGTTGAGAATCCCTGATATAACGTCTCGTTCGGTCACGAGTTCATGTCAGTTAGCGAACTCGCGCGGGATGAGCAGATGTGCCATGGCAAGCGAAATCCTAATGCAAAGCATGATGCCGTCAACCATATAATTCTTGTAAACCATATAAGCCAACTCCTGATTTGTGTTTTTCAATTTCAAAATTCGTCACAGTTTCGTAATTTAATGAACTTTCATTAGTTTTAGTATTCTCCCTGTATAATGCTGATGTTGTTATAATAAAAATACTTTTTTAGCAAAAATGGAAAATGCGGATGACACGTCAAAGAAAAAGACAACAAAACAACCGGATCTGTCATCCAAAAAACAAAAAGGTAAAATTAAATTATTTTCAAAAATCATAGTCTGCCATTGTTGATTCAATGTTTATGAAACAAGAACTAGACTTTGAGATGAGTGGATATGTACGACTTCTTTTTGACAAAACTTTCCATCTTATATTCTGTACAATTGATTTGATGGTCTCTTCACAAAACAAATCAAAACAACATAACATTTTCCTCTATTTCTAGATTCATCATATGATGAAATAAATGCTGTGAGGCAAGAGGGAATTGTGCCATTTGTAAGTGCTGGTGGAATTCAGTCTTATGATGGACGGATTCCTGTTAAAAATGACAAGATGGCTAAAAAGGACAGAAAGGACGCTACTAAATGCGGTAACAGTAATCAATCATGTGTTGAGCATCTTCAGTTTATTACAATGGTTCTCAAATGGTAGGGCGCGTCGTAGTTATTTTTAAGGAGTGGTGCAATACTTGACAAATTCTAAAAATGGGGCACGGCTTAAAAAGTTTGAGAACCACTGGTCTATAATATAACAATCGAAAAAAGGTGCAAAATAACTAATTTTTTGTGGGTGTTTTGTTGTGTCAGATAAATCTTTGCTTCCCAACTCTTTGGAATAATCAAAGAAAAATTATCTTATTACAGACAGCTGACTTTCATTATGTATTTTTTATGATATCATTGCTGAATATTATTGACTTTTATTTTTATCTTATTACAGACAGCTGACTTTCATTATGTATTTTTTATGATATCGTTGCTGAATATTATTGACTTTTATTTTTAGTGAAATTTGACAATAAACTGAAGACTTTAAGAAGACAGATCCCATTCTATGGTGATGGTCGCATAAAGTTTTTAGAATCCAATTCGGATGAAGAAGTCGAAGAATATTTGGAAATAAATGAAGATGTTGACAGTGGTAATTGGTCTTTTTAAATTGTTGGAATTTTTTGTATTTAAGCTTTATCTGACGAATAATAAATTTTTGTATTATAAGATTATTCGGACACGCAAAATGATGACAGAAAAATAGAAAAGTTGGACGGACCCTTGGAAGAAAATCATCATGGTAACACGGTTTTTGGTTCGTGGTAACAGAGTATCCTGGTTTTTGCACCTATTTTCTCTAAGAAAATACTCATTAAAGTACAAGGAAATAATTAGGATTAGATAGTAATTTCATAATTGAAATTCAATATGGAATTAATTGCGAAATATTTCCATGATTTTACTAGGAATACTTGATTATGCACATTGAAATAAATCAAAAGAAACTGATACATGTTAATATGTTATGTTTTTATTGAGCGATAAATTTTTATTTTATAAGATGGTGCAGGATCTCGTATCAGCAACAGAAAGGAAGAAATTCTTTCTCTGCAGCTCGAAGGCTTTTGTATTGAAGGCACAAAGTTTACTCCGAAGCCTCCTCCAGAAGAGGAGGAAATAATGGAAGAGATCGATGCCGGTAAATCTTGTTCATTCAATTAATTAAACTAAATCGAAAACTATTTAGGTTACAAAACATTTTTTCAGGCTGTGATGAAGTCGTTGAGTCGAGCCAAGTAAAAGCCAACAGACGACTGAAGACAGCAAGAAGAAGACCAATGGGTATGTATGCTCTTTATTGATATGGGTATAACCAAATTCTAAAATAAATAATTGAATGTGTTTTTGAAGCTTTACCTTACGAATTAAATTAAGTTTCTATTCTGCGCAACGATACAAAATATTTAAGTACTGAATTTAACGGATGAAAAAGTGTTTTTTTAAATATTTTTTCTTTAAAAATTGGACATGCCAATTCCTGTTCTTATATTTCATAAGGAGACTTCAACAACACACTCCAAGTATTGAGCAGAGAAATTCCACATTATGGTGGTTTCAGAAAACACAGGAATTATGGAATTGAATTGGATGAAAATAAGGAATACTATGAAGATATGGAAAGCATTGAGGAATTCATAATACATGGTAACCATATTTCTAATCACTGCATTTTTTCGATTTATTTTCATCAAATTTTTAATAAAATTATTGAATTGTCAGGTGATTCGGATACTTCTATCGGAAAAGAAAGCGAAAATAAATATTGTGAAAACATCAGTTCAAATGAATTGTTGGAAGAAATTGAAGAAAAGATTGATAAAGGTAACTTTGTTATAAGTTCTTATTTAATGCAGGGTTCTTTAAACTGGGGGTTCTACCCCTTGATGGGTTGAAAAAGGCTCAATGGGGGTTGCTGTATGTTTCAATAACATTATTAAGACTTTGACACGAGAACAGTCGAAACAGATGAGAAAAATAGATCCTGACTTGATGAGAAGCTGAACATTACACACTTAAGTGAGCTGCAAGAATTTCATTCAAAGGAAACCAAGAAGTACGCTCCTCCCAAACATAACAAAATCAAACGTTGACGGGCCATCAAGCGTGACGGAACTATTGTTACATCACAACTTCGCTTCTAGTTTTTTACGTTCTTGAGCCAAGCGAAAAAATTTGATTGTGCCAAGTGATGGAATTAGTTTAAAGAGCACTGCTTTAATTAATAGAATAATTGACAATGCTTTATATAAACGTTACCTGAAGTTGAACCATTGTTTTTAGAAGATGACAAACTTTCTTCGAATTGGGAAGTAAACTCACCAGCCATTAAATCACTTTTGGATAAGAAGCAAAAGGGTCAGTTTTATTTTCAAAGAGTTGATTTTGCTGCAGCAATATTTGCTTAAGATTGTGGTTCCACTGATTTTATTTAATTTTTAGAACATGAGAGTGGAAAACCTTTTTCAAAAATTCAAAATATGATGATAAACTTAACTCTGCATTAGAGTTGTCAGTATGGCAAACTTTCACATTTGTTTTAGGTGGCAAGAAGAAAAATCAAAAGCAAGTTGCTCTAAGACAAGCTGCAACAGCAAATAAATCCTGTCTACCTGACAACAAAAAGAAGGGTATGTCATTTCAGTGTAAAGTATATTTCAAAGTTGAATTTACCCATGTTGTTGAAGTTTTTACAATACTAGTAAGCTTTGACTTCATTTTATTTTTTCTAAAGGTGATGGAAAATCCACAAAACAACCTAAAGGCAGTACTGGAAAATCCTCTGGTAAAAAGCCAATGGGTATGTATGATTATTAATATATTATTAAATGTCACACAACCAGCTAATTCAAAACACAATATTCGGGTGTATATAAGATTCAGTGATATGTTGTGGGTTTGGATAGATAAGAAATTTAAAGCAAATGATTAGAGTAAGCATATGAAGTGAAGAACATCAACCCTGATTTATCTAGTCTAAAATGCTACTATATTTTAATGATAGGATAGGAATTTTATATTCATTCTGAGGAGAGAAAATTTTATAAGACGACTCAATCATATGGCAAACCACGGCATCTCGTTCGCTTACAAGTTCAGGTAGCCATCCCATGCAGGATGATCAGTTGAGCGATGGCAAGCATAATCCTAATGCGTAGCGTGATAGCGTCAAAGTATAATGGACTGGACTATAAAAAGATTTCTTGTATTCTGGTACAGAAACTCAAAACAACTCATGATTAGTGTTTTTTGATTTCAAAAATTGTCACACTCATATATTAATAAACTTTTATCAGTTTTATTTTTCTTATTATATAATATGTACTTGTTTTCACATTAAAAATACTTTTATAGCTCAAAGTGGAAATGCGGATGACACATCGAAGAAAAAGGCAACAAAAAAATCTGATCTGCCATTCAAAAAACGGAAAGGTAAAATTTAATTCTTGTCAAAATTGCAGTCTGCCATTGTTCATTCAATGTTTATGAAACAAGAACTAGAACTTGAAATTGAAAAATAAAAATTCAAATTTTTTTGTGTTGTCAAATCTCGATTGAAAAATAAAAATTCAAATTCTTTTGTGTTGTCAAATCTCGATTGAAAAATAAAAATTCAAATTTTTTTGTGTTGTCAAATCTCGATTGAAAAATAAAAATTCAACTTTTTTCATATTTTCACATCTTTACTTTGAAGCTCTATGATGAGTAATGTTGATAAAACAATCTTATTTTCAGGGAAATTCAAAGGTGTACGCAAGGCATTGGGCAAAATAATACCACACCAAGGTAACTCCAACATAAGATTTAGTGAAGATGTTTCTGTAATAGTTTATTAATATATGTCCAAGAACCACAAAGTATTAATTTGGCATGTTGTTGAATATTTTTAATGTACAATGTAATAGATGTTTATATATTATTGTATCATTTCCCAGATCATAGCAAGGACAATCCCCAACGCAATGTGAAAAAAAATAAAGGTGAAATGAAACAACAAAATTCCAATGACATAATTGAAATTGAAAAAGGTACTGTTTATTATTTTCTCTTTTACAAAATAGTTTCATGATCCGATAGTCTTTAACGAAAAATATTCGAAACGTCAATACATTTTCCTCTACTTCTAGATTCATCATATGATGAGATGAATGCTGTGAAACAAGAGGAAATTGTGCCATTCATTAGTGCTGGTAAAGTACAGTCTTATGATAGGCAGATTCCTGTTAAAAATGACAAGATCGCCAAAAAGAACAGAAATGATGGTAAGTTTGAATAAATCTAATAAAATGTCTAATATTAGAGTTCGAATCCTGTTGTGGATAATTGAGTGCAAGAGGATAGGATAGGATTTACATATTTATCCCGGGGGAGAGGAAAGCCGATAAGACGGCTTATCCATATGGCGAACCACGGCCTCTCGTCCAGGTACGATTCCAGGTCGGGTATGGGATTAGTTATATTGTTTGTTTTCGGAAGTATGGACTTGATGGTGGAGGAAGCCGTAACCGACCAGCGGTTACATGAACCACCCAACGACGGCGAGGAGTCCAGCAATCCTCTCGCACATAACCATCCCTGCATGGGATTCGAACCCGCGAACCCACTCAGAGTAATTAGAGGTGCGGTGGCGAGCGTATTCCTAACGCTTAGTCCGTTGAGCCACACCGACGCGCACACTTTCTGACAGTTCTGCATGTACGGCGTCAACAGGTACGACAGCGACGAACCACAACAATGATGACTTGAGTTTGAGAATAAACACCATCTTGGGCGATTGTGACTTCGCCCAGTAGCTTGTTCAGTTCTTCGGCGTTCATAATAGCCAATTGCAGATGGCGAGGAATGATCCTGCTTTTCTTGTTGTCACGGGAAGCATTGCCTGCCAATTCGAGAACTGAGCATTGCTGAACTCGCGCTGCCGCAAGGTTCTACACGTAACGACCACCGCAATTTACGACTTCATCCCCTATTGACTCCATGCATCTAAAATATATAACTGGCTAACTAATTCCATACAAGACATGGACTGGTCAACTGAATGAGAGGCCGGGGCTTGTCTATGATTAAGCTGTTTTACCGACCCTACTCTCGCCTAGGACAAATTTGAAAATTCTAATCTATATAAACTACTGCATAATGTGAGTGTTCCAACACGTGATATTTTTCTTAATTTCTTCCAGATATTGACTCGTCTTCTGGCGACGAAAGCATCATATTTCTGACCGAGCCATCCTCGAAAAAAGTTCCATGTGCAAAAAAATTTTTTCGTTCTGTTAGAAGCAGATTATAAGCGTTTTGCATTTGAGCAAAATTATGATGAAATCTTTTGATTCATTTAATTGTGCCATTGGTTTGGTTTATTTCGCATTTTAGCGATATTCCAATACAATATATTTTTTACATAGGTTTCCAATTACTTCGACTGGGTTTGGGCGCTTAAGCAGATAACTGAGCTAGTCAACATATGCGTATTGTTGGTAGATGTCAGCGACATATACTGTGTTTCCTTGCTTTTGACTGGTTTGAAGTCTGAGCCGAGGTTGTAATGTACACCCCCTTGTTTGCCGTCGCATCGCAAATTACCCTTCGTCGGTACTTAGGGCTGGGCATTTCGAATCAAATATCTTGCATATTAATAGTTTTTTATTCAAATCGGTTCAGACGAAAATTTGAGGTGGCCGCCATCTTATTTTTTTTTCTTGTACGCCAAAGGCGAATTTTATTGAAGTCCTATTGTATTTCTGTAACGTTTCGTCAGAAGAAAAGTTCACAACAACTCAATTCTGACATAAGAATATTTTCTTCCTTGTGAGTTAGTGACGAGTTTATGATTGTTTCTTATTGTTTGGGGCAATTGAGAAACTGATTGAATGATGGATTCTATGTTTTAAGTAATTTATGCGCCTGCGGGACGATGAAAAAGTCATATACAATCAAATATTCTCCACGTACCAGAGATTCAGTTCTGAAATCATCAGGTATTCGAAAATGGCCAGCCCCGTCTGTTCGAATGCCTGTGCTGGTTAGGGCTTGCGCGAGATGGTCGCTTGGGCCTTTTACTGCTCTGGGTATATACGCAGACCGGAGTGGCTTTTCTTCCCAATCTGCAATCACACTCTATTCGTAACCGCACGAGAGACCTGATGTCCCATATGATTAATCCTTTTTATCAGATTTCCTTTACACGTGAGTAATATGAAAAATAAAATCTCATCGTATAATAGAACAACAAGTTTGTTCTCTGTACAGCGTTTTTGAATATTAAGTAGTTGTCTCGCTTCTTTTAGTTGATGGTAATATCCAGATCCTAGAAAATGTCCAAATCGCTCATAATATCCTACTTTGTATCACTGGAGTAAAATAGTCTTAAGCCATTTCACCATGACTGCCAGTTTCCAATACAATCCAGTTCACACTTGATTGGGAACGTTTCATTGAATTTGGAATTTAATACACAGATTATAAACCAATCCTTATTCGCTATGTGATTAGTTTGAAACAATCAGCTGCTAATGATTAAAATTCGGGTAATGGGCAGTAAATTAAGACGCTATTGTGGCATTTGTCGTTTAGCGACAAACGAGGACTTGTTCTTCACAGTGCAACAAAATAATAAGTTAAACTATATTTTCCATAAAGTCATGCGTAGTATATATATAATGCAGATTTAGTCCTCGATCATCATTTTGAACTCCAGTCAAGCAGGATACAACAATTATTAACGGATTCTCAACGAATCAACGACATAAATTAAAATATATTTTTAAAAACGGTATTGTGAGAGTCCTTTTGAAAACTTAAAGCAGACTGATATTATTTCTTTCGATTTAAGTTGTTTAGGTACAACACAATTTCTCTGAAACTGCTGTAGGCGATTCTCGATGAATTGAAAGACTTGGTAGCGAAAGAAAGTGATGCTTTCAAGAAGTAGTAGCGCTAAATATTATTTCCCATGATTTCATAGTGCTGTTTGTCAACAACATTTAAATGGGTACTTCCGTAGTGTGTGTATCAGGTTAGGGTTAGGCCATAATTTTATTCCGATTTCCTTATTTTAATTCTATTACGAGTTCGGGGACTGTCTGTGTTAGCCAAGTAAATATACCCTTTGCCCATATATAAAGTTATTTATTGCAATGATTATACAAGAAATGATTTAAGCCTTACTTGGGTATGGAGTTGAAGCCGGAGACAGAAATCTCTGCGGCCAGAATATATATATTTTTTGTGGAGTTATAGCTGCTTCAGCAGCGGGCAGGATGACATCGGGAGCTACATTAGGACGAAATTATTTCATTGGTGATATTTGAACCTTGGGTGTCGCTGCTTGAAAACCAGCTTTGGTTCCCCGCGGCTTCCCTTCCCCAGTGAAATGAGTATTCAATATTATTATTCTTAATTTTGCATGTTAACTTTATTTACTGGATGGAAAAAAATAAACTTGACTATGACTATGGTGTGTTTGCATTGATGGCAAAAATGAAATTTAACTGCGCGTTCAAAAGCATTTAGGATTCTGGGATGAATATAATTTTGAATACTATATTTAGAATTAGTTTTTTTGATGCAAATAGGCCGAATACAAACCATGTAGGCTACCGTCAATTCACGGTTCATGCAGAACGCGTGGAAATAGAAAGTATACTTCCTAAAATTTTGTTTTTTGTGCCTTCATTGAATAAAAAATGATGATTGATACATCCAAGTAAAACAATTTACAAACGTGATTTGGATATATGTGATGAAAGAAGACGAACAGCAGTTTGAACTCTTGTGGTGGAGTATACTGGTCCAGTTCTCTCACGACTATACCTGAAATCTCCAACCAAATTTAGATATATGAATCAAATATGATCAGTCATGAACATGATTAATCTATTACTAACATCTGGCGTGTACAAACTTCATCAACAAAATGTAGCTTCTCTAGCTTATTTTATCGAAAAGATTCCTTCTTTTACACGGGCAGGGTATTAAAAACGCTTCGAACAGTAGTTTATGAAATCTTCTTGGGTCTGGCAAACACGTTCCAAAATATTAATTTATAAGGATCATGTTCAGGATTTAAAAGTTATTGTTCCTGAAATGTTATATATAAGATACCTTTCATTTTTAATGTACAATTCAGAATGTATTATTCTTAGTGAATATTTATGTAGACTGTGCAGTGTGTGATTTAATGTTAACTCTTGTTCTTTATTTCATTTCAGTTATTATTGAGTTCCGTCATTGTTTACTAATAAAAGTGTAACAAATGGACTGTCAATCCTATCTATGACGGAACTCTAGCTTAACCTCTTGAACCCGGCAAGCCGGTTTACCGGCTTGTTTGAGTACGCTCTGTGCCCCGGCAAGCCGGTTTACCGGCTTGTTTTTCGTGTCGGAGGGAATCAACTTTATGATCTCATATCTCAAGCACCACAATGAGTATTTAAATAAATTTTATATTGCATGAAAGCTTGTTATTGGGACTAATTATATTGTAAATATCGGTGCTCTAATATACGATGTTTCAGTAAAATTGGCAATTTGAAAGTGCGTATGAAATTATTGTATGATAACAAATATTTAATATAAAGAATTTCGACTTCTTGCCTAAATAGCTACATATTCAATCGACAGTATATGTGGAGAATTTGAATAGCTTTTTATATACGTATCCAAAACGATTTTACGATGAGCCATTCAAATTTTTATTGCCCAATATATTAGATTATCTGTAGATTTAACAGCGACGCTGCGTCAAAGTGATATTCTCATTGAAGAGAGGCTACGTCTCGTCACGCACAACTTTACGTATATTACGCAAATGCAACCAAACGTGACGATATCCGCAATAACGTTACGTCGAGATGTTATTATTTAAATGTCCGCAGGAAGTAATTAACTAACCCGATGCTACGCATTCAAAAACTTTGACTGCCCGCTCAAGCCCCATTAAGTTGTGGTTACGTGTACACAATATGAACAAGATTGTGATTTTTTTAGCAAATAACGAAACAATAAAGACCATGAAAATGTATGTACATAAAAGACGGCTTGCTAAAATTTTTAAATTGAATATTGCACTTTGTTGTGCCCGAAACAATGAAGAACATGAAAATATTATGCAGATAAAAGACACATTCTAAATCCAATATTGCACTTTGTTGTACCAGTTATACCAATGGTTGTTGGTTTCGTTACCTATACATAGGTACTCATTACAGTATTTGCACTTATATACTGTCTCGCATCGTTTCAGCAACGCTTTGTCTTTAGCAGCTTGATTGGTTTTTGACAATAATGTAAATTTTGCTGCATACGACGCATCTATTATTAGAACTGGCGTTTTTGCGGTAGGTTCTGGCGACGCATATGATCTTGTTGGAATAAGAGTTGCTCTTTCTGCATTATTAGTTCTCTCAGATATTGATCTATCCACTTGCTTCGCCTAACATTCGTACAATCAGATATTTTGATCTGCAGAGCAGGCAAGTAATTATTTTGGTTGATATTTGAACAAATACTGATGGGCGAATAAAACATTTTCCACGTGAAATTTTATATGACGATATTAACTTCCCTCCACTTCGCTATTACTGCACGCATTACTCGACGTCGGACTTCCATCCATACAGGGTTAATATCATATCGAAACTCGGCGACCGATGACCCGCTGACAACATCGTCGTGAAAGTTATCTTGCGCATTTTGCCACGCAACACGTTTCGAACGTACTTATCAACACCTTCATGACGTTAGTCACGTGATCGACTTTTGCGTAGCTGCGTAATCAGTGCGTCATGGCCGCTTATCGAAGTTGTTCACCCGACACAATGATACACAATTGAATATTTAAATATAAAATTGGTTATATGGCAGCCACAATAGTAATTCGAATATCAACAAAAAGCTTATAAAAAACTCTTTATGAACATCAATTATTGGCAGTATATTTTGTACCAAAATAACAAAATTTCAAGCCAAAACTCACGTACATGCAGAAAAATCACTGTTAGATTAGGGTCAATTTTATTAATTTTGACAAAATGTATTTCGAAATGGAAAATACATTCTGAATGCACGATAAAATTTCCTTTCGATTGAAATGTCACACAAAGTGCTACCTATAATTGATAAAAAGTTATAAGCGTGCCAAATGGCCAGTATTTAGACTTATTTTATTGTTCTACAAATACGGCGCCGCGAACCTTCAGGGTGAGCGAGTAACTTCGCTCAGAGCCGTCAGAGTTCAAAGAGTTAATATCTAGTTATCGACATTTGGCTAACGTGACTATTTACTAGCACCAGTGCTTGCATTCATCATGCCCGTCGTCCGTTGCCCTTTTGAAAGCTGTACATACCAAACACCAGACCAAAGCGATGCCATCGTGGCTGCCTTGATAACAGCACATTCCATCACCCACAACTCATCGCCGGTTGCAAAGGTGGAAAAAGTGCGTAGGCCAACAATCACCATGGCTGGATCATCAGAAGAATGGGCATACTTTGAAACGAGATGGAAGGAATATGTTGACGCAACGAAAATAGAGGGTAGCGATAGAGTAATGCAGCTACTGGAATGCTGCGACGAAGCCCTTCGAAAAGACATCACGCAGGCAGCGGGCGGCAGTCTGGCAGGTAAACCTGAAAAGGACGTTATAGCTGCCATAAAACGACTGGCAGTCCGCGAAGAAAACACAATGGTTGCAAGAGTGGCATTGCATAACATGCGACAGGACAGAGATAAAACTGTCCGATCTTTTGGCGCCCGCCTACGTGGACAAGCCGGAATATGCAAATTCCAGATTAAATGCCCTTCTTGCGAAGCAACTGTCAATTACACAGATGCTATCTTACGGGACGT